AATTTTTTTTTTTTTTTTTTTTTTTTTTTTTTTTTTTTTGGAGCAGCTTGCTTGATTACCATTTGATTTTGTGGTGATGGCCAAGTTTCTTTGTCATTATAACCTTAGCCTATCTTTAATTTGGCCCTATAGATGATGATGTTTAAGTTTGTGGCCTTAACTGATTTGCACGGTCAATGTCATAAATGGGCCACCCAAACTCACGTATAGAAATGGGCATGAGGACACCACTGGTGCCTTTTTTATTTTTTGAAAAACTCATGTATAGAGATGTTAATAAAACCTTGTATTTTCCTTAAAAAATGGTTATACTAATTAAACGCAAAGATATCAAACAAAATGTTGGACTAACTTGGGAGAAGTTGAATGCAGGAATGTCACTTCCTCGACGGTTTCAGGAAGTCAAACAGCAGAGATGTCATTTAAGGCGAAAAGAAAACAGTAAGCTAATCTAAATGTAGCGAAATGCTGACTCCTACATATGATATTATTTGAGAAGTCACTTAGTTCTATACCCGATCAGTAGAACATAGGTTTTAACCATCGCGTTATGTGCAGTGGAGAGCATGAAGTCCGATGTGTGAAGAGGAAGTTGTTATTAGAGGCCCTTTCAAAGGAACTCCCATGTGGCACCATAAGGTACTCTTCCAAGGTGGTTGCTATTGAGGAATCAGGCTTCTACAAGCTTGTACATCTTGCTGATGGCACGGTCATTAAGACCAAGGTAAAAATAATATGATATGGAATAGGGAAAATTATCTACTTTGTAATAAGATTTCTTTTAACATGTCACATTTATAACTATATATGTGTATCTATGTGGTTTAGAGACGTCAAATCGCTTGTAATATTGTTTGTTGTGTGAAATGGAAAGGTGTTGGTTGGTTGTGATGGAGTAAACTCAGTGGTGGCAAAATGGCTGGGGTTCAAGAAGGCTTCATATACAGGGAGATCAGCTATTAGGGGGTGTGTGAGTTTTAATACTAGTCATGGTTTTGAGCCATTTTTCATGCAGTTCTCAGGACATGGTTTTAGATCTGGTGCTATGCCTTGTGATGACAGATCCGTTTATTGGTTTTTGACTTTTCATCTCTCCCCTGCCCAAGGTAAGTAATTAATTGCACTCTATAAGTACTATCCTGAGCTTCATTTGGTTATTCCTTGCTTTATGAACAGTTTTTCCTCTATTCGAGTTCTAACAAAGTAAGCAGCAAAATAGATTCTTCGACTTTTCACTATAAGTGATGTGAGATCCTATAGTAGGGTTCTGAAAAAAAAAAAAAAACCAAAACAAAAAAAAAATGGTAGCGCACTCTTTTGAATTGTGATTTTGACTAAATCTAACATTTCAAAAACACCGACTATTAGTATGGTATTCCTATCGTATAGAACTCGTGTCATGTATCAAGCAACATCAAAGTTCCTTAGTCCTATGAAAAAATAAGAATATTTATATTTTGTTGTTGCCTTGTAGAGAAAGAGCTAGAAGGGAATCCTGCTAAAATGAGGGAGTATGTGATGAGCAAGGTCGGAATCATACCTGATAAAGTAAGACATATCATTGAAAGCACAGAAACGGATGCCATTCTATCATCTCCATTAAGATATAGGCGTCCTTGGGAGCTTCTATGGGGCAACATTAGCAAAGGCAATGTTTGTGTGGCCGGTGACGCCCTCCATCCCACGACGCCAGACCTTGGCCAAGGCGGCTGTGCTGCGCTAGAAGACGGTGTCGTCTTAGCCAGGTGTCTCGGCGAGGCCTTGTTGAAAAGCAAAGGCCAGAAAGGGAAAGCTAAAGGTGAAGAAGGAGAAGAGGAATACAAGAACGTCGAAAAGGGGTTGAAGAAGTATGCAAGTGAGAGGAGATGGAGGAGCTTTGACCTCATTGCTACCGCCTATGTTGTTGGTTTTATACAAGAGAGTAATGGGAAAGTTATAAGCTTTTTGAGGGACAAATTTTTGGCTCCCATAATGGCTGGTTTGCTGCTGAAGAAGGCTGATTTTGATTGTGGGAAGCTCAACATTCCTTAGATTCAACTTCATGTATCAAAACGTGCTCTCTAGAGATGTACGGTAGGAAATCAATTCCCATTTCCAAGTTAAATCTTCTTTTTTTCCGTACTCATTGATAAAGAGACAGGTTTTACATAGGTGTTTGTCAATTTATAACCACACGTTGATAAAAGAGCACGTTTTCAAGTGCTAAGTTTAAGAGGACGTTTGGTTTATGTATTCAGAATCATGATTCATAACCATTCTCGTTTTACGTATATTTTTTATGAGAAAAAATACTGTAGAGAACCATGAATCATGATTCAGAATCAGAGACGGATATAAGAAACAAACGTCACCTTATTGATCAGTTCGCGGAAAAAGTCACAATAATTGAAAGAAAATTCTTTTATGATTAGGTGCGGTAACTTTTAAGCATGTCTTTTGATTAACTCTAGCGGACTAAAATCCTATGATTCGTTTGCGAATGCTAAGAAAATCGAGATAAACAATCAGATGAAGTAATTGAGAATATATGGCTCCCCATTTACACATGTTTTAGGGATTTTGTTGAGGTTTTTAGTTTTCACATATCATTTTCATGCTACATTTAAGGACCACATGGTTGGAAAATTTTTTCATTTTCCCATTATTGACCCAAATTTAATGTTTTGGTATGAAAAATTTATTAAAAAAACAATTAAATTTTGGCTAGAAAAGGGAAAATCACTTAAACGACATTAAAGAACAACGTATCGATAGGATAATGTATACGACAAAATAGCTATAAAAACGACAACAAATTAGGTAAACGACTTTTATAACTCCTCTTTTTCCTCCATTATTGATGGCTCGTGAGCCGCCTCTATACACTGAAACCAGAAAAAGGCGAGAGCACAAATCTTATAAAAAGGCGTAAATCGTTATCTATTTTAAATCTTCAACAATGAGACATTGACATTCGTCTAAATCTCTATACCCAATATTAATTTCATATGTCCAAACAACATTTGTCATTCGGAGTTATTAGTCATTGTTACACTGTATCACGGTGTTTTCATTTACATAATCTAAATCAAACTCAAATTATATTATTATAATTTTTTTTCATATAAATTTAAATTTAAATTTTTATTATGGTATTTTATTTGTACGACTTAAATCATAACTTAAATTATGTAAATCATCGTATCATATACCTTCACAAATACATATAATTACGCACCTAACTACTTAAACTAGCCTGACTGGTTATTAGACGTACTCTACCTAACCTCACTTATCACGTTGTCACATTGGCACATATCATGTGTCATTGTTGACGTCATTACTATCGTTCTTTTTCCTTCTCTCTTTTTATTTTTTATTTTTTTGCTTTAGATAATTCTTTTCTACTATAGAAGATCAACATGAATCTAGGGTTCGTTTGGTTGGAGGATTCAAATCATGTGATTCGAATTATTTTTAATTTATGTGTATTTTTTGTGAAAAAAAATACTATAGCAAACCACGAATCATAATTCGAATCAGGGAACGAATCCCTCTACCAAACGCCCCCTTAAAACCATTTCCTCTGGAATTGAACTCTGAGAAGGAAGATGTCAAGACAATTATCTGATCTTCAGTAGTTCTTTGTGAAAAAGGAAGATGTTAAAACACGCACCTTACTCTTGACAATGTCTTTAAATATATTAAAAAAACTAATTTTTACAATATCCTTAATCATATACTTCATCATTATTACTAAACAGTTTTAACATAAAAATATTACGAAACTCCTTTCAAAAGAAAAAATATATATATATAGTATACTAAGAAGAGTATTGTTAAGAACACTAACTCAAATCTCAATTTTTGTGTACTAATTAATGTGAAATGTGACTTGTCGTCTTTCTATTGTAGTAGATGTAATATTTTACGTTGATATTTTAAATACCTGTCAATATAAAGATGACATCTCACACATTACATTAATTGATACACAAGAGGTAGATTTGAGTTGGTATCCTTGCCAAATTATTCGCACTAAGAAACTGTGAAACTACAGCCGAAATCGACACAGAATGTGGAAACAAATTGAACCGTGCTGTGTAATTTCTTGATCATCTAATACACAATATTTGATACAGGTTTCTCTTTCTCTCTTCCTGACTCAATTAAAGAAGAGAAGATCACGACCAAATAATTTCACAACCGTTGTAGCATACTTCCGTACGTTCTCCCACTTGCTCTACTGCTTTATGTCAAAATTAGAAAATTACTAGTTAATTTATCAGTACAAAATTTGTATATAATAAATGTAAGGTGATATTTGTTTTAAGAGCTCTGCGTGATTTAAGATCATGATTTTTAGTTTTTTTCTCATAAAAAATTTAAATTTTAAAAATTAAAATCATAAACGATGATTTTAAACCCATGAACTAAACATCACCTAAATAGTTCATACCTCAACCACTTAAACAAAGGTTTTGGTTCATGGATTAAAATCATTTTCGATTTACGTGTATTTTTTATGAGAGAAAATACTATAGCGAATTATGAACAATGATTCAATCGAGATACGAATCTCCCAACCAAACAACACCTGAGTGTGTGCGTGTGTTCATCAAAACAGAAGCTATAGACCTCACGTCGTATTAAATAAAAAGAAAAAAATTCATAACAAATCCAGAATTCATGGCCATGAACTTTGTACATCCAAGAGTACAAGTAGAGATGGAATTTAGGAATTCAGAACCGCAATCAAATGCACATCCACCCATACAGGCTGCATAAAGCGGGAAACTTTTCTTTCTATGTTGGCACTCCACTCTATGACACCGTTGAAGACAAAACACCAATTTTACTACTTTGCGGCTTTTGCGTATTACTCCATCAAATGAGTTAGTTGAAGGAAGAGGTTGTCTAGAAGGAAGTCGAGAAGCCAGAGAGGAATTAGAGCCTGTAATAATAAATCCTATCACTAGAATTATAATATCAATCATAATGCCCATTTCAGTCTTGAGTATCTTCATTATATTCCTCTTTTCTTTTTGGTGAAGTTGTGTTATAGCGAATGTATGAAGAAGAGAAGACCACATAAATTTTTTGGATTCAAAATTTCAAATAACCATTTATTCTTTATAAGTTGCTTTTAAACTCGTATAAAGGGTAAAATACGTATAAAAATTAAATGGAATTTTTTCTGGTAGTCTATTATTTTTCAACCGTCAGATCTGTATTAAAATTTGAGTGTTCTACATGCTTTTTCAATTTAATGTGATTTTGATAAGATCTAACAGTTAAAAATTGAGACTACTGATAAGGCAGATTACTGAAAAAACTCCCAAATTAAATTTGCATATCTTATCAAATTTTGTAGGGTTCGCCGTTTCCTTTTAATTCGGCTCAACCGTCAGATCTGTATCAAAATCTGAGTGTTCTACATGCTTTTCAATTTAATGTGATTTTGATAAGATCTAACGGTTAAAAACTGAGACTACTGATAAGGCAGATTACTGAAAAAACTCCCAAATTAAATTTGCATATCTTATCAAATTTTGTAGGGTTCGCCGTTTCCTTTTAATTCGGCGGCGTGTTCACAAAACCAAAACCCAAAGGTCATGCATTAACCAATGATCTTTGGTATGGCAAAAGTTTTCTGCCATGCATGCTAACTTTTATGTATGTCTCTCGATTAGCTTTATAGGTTTTATTTTTTACCTTTTTTTTTTTTTTTCATTTTTAGAAGGTTTTTCAGGACCTAGAAAAATGAAGGAGATATGGAGCCAGAGAGTGTTGAAGCGTGGAAGCATTAAAAAAGCAGAAAAAAATGGATAAATGTTCCTAAAACCATTGATTCACTAAGAAAAACATAAAATAAGGCACCCACTAGCCTATTATTTGCTCAGGAATGCCAATAAATTAGTGATAAAACCAAAATTCATTGATTCTAATATATAATGAAAGTTTATGTAAGATTTCTTAATAAAGAAATACAAGCATATATCTAGGCACTATAACATTAATCAAAATCTATGAACTTTTAATAAAATGAAACTTTTGGGAAAATGAGTAAGTAAAACAAAACCCTTTGTACTTTTTTCCTATAAAATGAAAGAAAGAAAACATAAGGAGACGTTAGCCGGAGCTTTGGGGTCACCTCTAAACTCCCGGCCTTAAAACTTCATCCTTTGGCTTCATGGGTTTGTCGGTGGTGGTGACAATGTGTGTAGTGTAGAGGCTCCATTTGGACAAATCAAACTTGGGTTGGTGGTTGGTTGATGAACGTTAGGACTACGGTTTCCAACACGCCTGTCGTCTAGTGCTTATGCGCCTTCGGGGTTTTGTTTCGCTTGATGGTGGGCTTCTTTTAGCGATGGTGGTGTTGTCTTCCAGCGACTATGGTGATGGCGCATGAGGGCCACAAGCTACAGCTTGGAAGCGCCTCTTCGACTTTGTCATGTGTCTCTCAAAGTCCCTTAGTCGCTCCTTCGCCAGTTGTCCTTTTGTCGAAGGCTTTTACCAGTGATGCTTGGTGGTCTTCTTTTGTTTTTGTTTATGCTTTGGTTTGTACTAAAAATGGTTTTTGCTTCATTTTGTGTGTGTGTGTGTGTGTTTTGTTTTTTTTTGTTTTTCCTTTCATAGTGTTCATTTTTATTTTAGTTCACATAATATTAGTCTTGGCAGTGTTTTGTGCGGCATTAATATTATAGGACTCTCAATTTCATGTCAAAAATTGATGAGTGTAAATGTATTCGATACCCTGGTAATTTTCTTAAAATCTATGTTTGGAAAGTCAAACTTAATTTCTCCCTATAAAAACAAAGAAAAAAAAGGGGAAAGTTACGGCTCACTCTTTTAATAATTAGGGAAAATTTTAATAGGCATAAATCAATGATTGAACAGCATTACAGGACACTGATAGGATCGTGAATACGACACATAGATTTTTAATATCATCAAGGATTCGTTAAACTTTCTTCGTAATTGACGGCTCGTAGTAGTCCAAAGTACCAAACTTGTCTACTCTACAGCGTCTAGCTTCTCTCATATGATGATATTATGGCTGCTAAAATAGAAAGCGACAGCCAACGTAAATTATCTCAACAGAGCAAATAAGAATTTTTCCTCACTTCTTTTTTTTTTTTTTTT